AAAAAAAAAAAAAAAAAAAAAGGACTCAAATCGAATGAGAATGACCATAAGATCTGGGTTGACCCAAAGACTTAACACTCGGCCCCACTGCCTATGGGCCTCCGAAGAAAAGAAGAAAAAAAACTTAATACTCGGCCCATAAACAAAACCCAAACACATTAACGCAAATACACAATCTTCCTTCAAGCCATCTTTCAATTCAATCACTCTCGTTCACAGGTTTCTTTTCCATTCTTACTCCGTTCTTCACTCAATCATGACTCTGTCCTTCTTTCACTTCGTTCTTTCTCTGTTCAGCGCTTTCTCGTTGGAGCCGCCATTTCTGTTGAAGTTTCTGAAATTTTCGTGGGTCTGACTTAATTATATTTTGAAGGAGTTGCTCTGTCTTTCATCTTCTCTTCATCATGTATCTCTTAAGCGTAGAACTCAGTTTCTGAAATTGGAAATTGTTCAATTCTGGTTTCGCATTGATTGCAATTGTAGCAGAGTTAACAAAGATAAACATACAAGAGTTCAAGAATTTAGCTTGATGAACGCAAAGCAGAGTCCTCACAAATTTAAATTATAATATTTAAAAATGGTATAATTTAAATTTAGTTCGAGGAGAGTAGAGAAAAGATTTTTTAATTTATTAAATTATAATATTTAAAAATAATATAATTTAATTAATTAAAAATTTTCTCTCCTCCTTTTTTTCTCTTTTCTGTTCTCCTCAAATTAAACTTAAAATAAAGGTTGATTATGCGGTTAACAAAATTTTTATAAAAAAAAATTCAAATAATTTTGTGGGCCAATTCCGCATAATACCTAGTTAAGGTAATTAATCTTAATTAGAAGACTTGGAAAGCTTAGACTTGACTTTGTAAAGACTTAAACTCAACCTAAAAGGAAATAGCTTAATTTAATAAATCCTTTATTTATTATTGATATTTTTTTTGATTTAGTCTAAAATTTTTATTTTTTAAATTATTTATTAGTTTTTTAAATTATATTCATTTCGTTTATCTAACATGATTTTATTAGATAGGTTAAGGAAAATTCATGCCATCGCTTATGTAGTGCTACGCAAGATGCCATGTAAACAACACATGGCCTAAAAACAAAGGAAAAATCTTTGCCTCTTTGTTTCTCTAACATTGTTAACTACAAATAATTAAATTATAGACAAATTTACTTAAAACAAAACTCAATTAAAAAAACAAAAACAAAATTATTTAGGCCATGTGTTGCTTACATAGCAACTTACATTGCATCACATAAGGGATGATATGGATTTTTGTCGATCTTACTAATGAAATTATATAAGGTAGATGAAATTAATATAATTTTAAAAGCTAATAAATATTTCTTAGTAAAAAAATACAAAACTTAAATTAAAATAAAAAAAAGTCAACATTTAGTAGATCATTTGATGAATTAAGCCGATTAGAAAGCCCATGAGGCTCTAACACACTTCCATTCTCCAATCAGTTCAATGCCAATTTCGAAAGGCCCAAAAAAGACATAAAAAAAAAAAGGGTTAAAGCCATCTATTATCCCTCTATTTTGTGAAAAAGTTCAATTTAACCCTTATACTATAGAATCACCTCAGGTCGTCCCTCTACTTCATTTTGAGCTCACATGTCCTCCCTCTACTATTCAAAAAGTCATCAATTTCGTCCCTCCATCCATTCCGTGGCTGACACCATCACTTTTTACCGTTAAAGCCTAACGATTTGGCGTTTAACATATATTTCTATATTATCCTTTTCTCCAATTTGGTTATAACAGGATCCACCAATACCACATCATACTCCATATTAATATCTTTCTACATAAATATTTTACCAATTTTTTTTTCAATTATTAGCCACATTTATTTATCTCTTTTAATTAACTTTTTAGTTGAGTCAATGAAAGAGATATTTTTTAAGACTATGATAAGTAATTAAGTAAATTTAATTTTTTTTTTAACAAATAGATAAAATTTTTTGAATTTTATTAAGAGAAATAAACATGGCCAATAATTGGAAAAAAAATGGTTGGTAAAATATTTATGTAGAAAGATATTAATATGAAGTATGATATGGCATTGGTGGGCCCTATTGTAGCCAAATTAGAGAAAAGAATAATATAAAAATATATATTAAATGCCAAACCGTTAGGCTTTAACGTTAAAATGTGACAGTGTTAGCCAGGAATGGATGGAGGGACGAAATTGAACACCTTTTGAATGGTAGAGGGAGGACATGTGAGTTCAAAATGAAGTAGAGGGATGACTTGAGGTGATTACATAGTAGAAGAGTTAAATTGAACTTTTTCACAAAGCAGAGGGACGATACTTGGCTTTAACCCAAAAAAAAAGGGGGTTTTCGATCACATGTTTCTCCTTCACTCGTCTTCATCCATCCTCGGTCCCTCCGTTCTTCATTCTCCGTTTGAATCAAAGTCTGAATCGTGACTTTTTCCTTCTTTCACTTCGTTCTTCTTCTGCACATCAGCGTATTTTTGTCGGGGCCGTCATTTCTGATGAAGTTTCTGAAATTGCCGTGGGTCGGTCTCAATTGGA